TAAGAGGTCAGAATATGGATACCGTATACCTACTGTCTCAGGCTCTCGAGCACCTCAACCATGCTAATTAGGGTAAAAGTTGAACTTTCCACTGCCAAGATTACACTACTTATTGATTATAAGTAAATATACAAATAAAACTGACCTGTATCCAGGCGTCCACCTTGTTGCCAAAGAGCTTCAGCTTATCTGGAAAGATTTCGGAGAGCAGGACAACAAAACATTTCCGTCCAAGCTCTTTAATTCGCTGCTGAAGCAAATGAACCACTGGTGGAGAACCTTGACGCCCAAGTGTACCCAAAATTAGACCAAAGCGCTGAGCTGATTGAGCACTTTCGATAGCACTCTTGCGGTTGGCCCGCATCAATGCGTGGTCGTAGGACTCAATCGTTAAGACCTTATTGTAAGGATCATACATGTAGGCAGGCAAAGAAGGATTTGCTAACATCGCTGACTCAAGGTGAAAACGGCCATCACCGATGAAGACCATGAAATCAACTCCTGACACCTGAAGATTTGTTGCATCAAAGTTATGAGAACGTTAGTGAGTATATTTTAAAAATCTATAGAAAGTGTAACCTTGGGCGAGGTACATCCAAGCAATTCTCCTGGCGAAAGTGGAAGACGCTGGGGTATAGTAACTTCAAAACCAATCTCCTGAAGAGATTTTTTGATGGCCGGCAAGCTTGAGACAAACTGAACTGTCGAAAATAGCGCGAATGATGCACAGTTGGGAAAGACATTTTTAGCACTATCAATGAAGTGAGCCATATCGAATGAAATGTCGACGAAAACGTACCTACACCATTAGTTACGAAGAAATAGAGTTATTTATATAAAACTTACAAGACAGACATAGTTTGAATAGGAATGAGACAACTGTGACCATAATGTACAAGAAGATCTGCACCCAGAGCTTCAGCAGAAAAATCATCAATACAGCATGCACCATAAGTTACATCCCCAAGAATTATTATGTCGACTTCGGACGCGACACCATCATCTTTCTTTTGGCTCGAATCTTCATTACCAATTTTGTACGATGCGCTTCCAAATCGTTTGAAAATTTCACTTAGAATGGTTGCGAAACGGAGAAGGCCTTCAGGCATTTGCAGAGCCACACATTTAGCCTTTAGACAACGGATTCGCCAGATAGTTTTGTGAACCTCAAAATTATAATTATTCGGCAAGTGAGTCTGAATAATTTTTGCCAGAATTGGATCATTTAAAAGTTCATCAGGAATCCTGAAAGGATTAAACCGCTTCGGAGGCATGATTAAAGCACGTGAAGATTACAAGGTCGACATTGGCTGCAGAATAAGGTACTCAAAGAATTAATAATAAGCTTTAAATCACAAATTGTAAGAAGAGTCTTGAAGTATACCATCACTTAAAGAGCATTTAAATTCGTGAAATACCCGGGCTACTACGTAATACGTTGTTAGATACAAATAAGGCATAAAATATTTCTTTAATGCATTAACGAGTTAGGTATCAAAAATAATTATTAATACATCGT